GGAGGCTCTGGGACTCTACAGTCAGAGGGCCCTAACAGATGACGTGGCCTTGGGTGGTACACACGGTTAATGTGCGCAGCAGTTAAATGAAAGGGTGGAATCCACTGGAAGACAACTAATCCCCACCCTCATAGTCCCTAAGTCTGGTCACGAGATCCCATTGCCCTCGCTGCAGCCACACAGGCTTACATGACACCAGCACAACATTTATGCCTGCACACGGCTCTTCAGTATGAGCTGCGCAGACCCCGTCTCACTGGATTTCCACGGGTTTCTGTGAAGCGGGTTCTATCCCGACATGCCGACAGTGGCAACAGAACACATAGCTACTAACACAGCCGCTGATGTCAAACTGCTGACATTGAACCCGTCCCTGCCAGCCGAATGCTCTCACGAGTGCGCCACAGGACTGGGTGATAGGAAATGAGATAGGCCAATGTGACATGTCACCGCATGAACACGGAGAAGCTGCACGTTGGTAGTTCAGTGATACAATTCTTGCCTTCTATGCGGGAGCCGTGGCCCTGCTGGTGTCATGGTTACATGTGCGTCAGCAGTTTGAAACCGCCAGCAGCTCCGAGGAAGAAAGACAAGGCTCTGTACTCCCGTAAGAGTGACAGTCTTGAAACCCATGGGGGCAATTCTACCCTGTCCTATGGGGTGGCTATGGGTCAGGGACAACTCTAGGGCCGGGAGACCCAGGGTAGATTCCTGGCCAATGTGCCCGATGCGATGCACAACCTCCAGCTGTGGTCAGTGCAGCCTCGTGTGCTGTTCTGATGTTGAAGAGGCTGCGGCAGCGCTTCCAGACTAGGAAGATGGATGAGGAAGAAAAACCTGGTGGTCTATTCTCAAAAGCCAGCCAAGGTAAGCTCTACTGATCTCAACGGTCCACTCCACCGCTGAGTGGAAACGGCTGAGGCCTGGTCAGTATTTCCCTTCCTCGTGCACAAGGGCATTGTGAGGTAGGAGCCAAGCTGACAGCAGGTAGCAGCAGTCAAGGCCATCTCGGGTCATTCCGCGGCGACAGCGAGGCCAGTTATAAAGGGAGACCCACTAGAAGATAATCGGCGCTTGCTGTACAGGTTAAACAACTTGGCTTCCAAAGTCCAAACATGGGTTATGCCTTTGTGGGCCCTGAATGAGAGTTTTAAAAGAAGTTCTATTTCTTAGAAAGGTATTTGAAACAAATCATTTGAGAGAACATCCAAATGATCTCCCAGGAAGTTGAGTTCAGAGGAACCTAGCGTGAAAACCGCTGTGAAGATTGTTGTCACTCGGAAGCAGCGGTTCCTTTGGGGGTCAAACGACCCTTTCACCGGGGTCACCTCAGACCATCGGAAAACACATATTTTCGATGGTTTTTCGATGGTCTTAGGAACTGAGACACCGCTCTTCTATCTCAACCTTTGCACTGACGCTGGCTTTTTACGCATACTGTCACAAAATGTAGCAATGTAGTTTACTCTTGTTATATTAAGACTGCTACCCATGCTGCACCATGCTTCAAGACAAAATTTCATGTATTTGTGATTAGAAATAAATTTCACAATACATAATTACATATTATATTTGTGATTACTCACTATGCTTTAATTATGTTCAATTTGTAACGATGAAAATACATCCTGTATATCAAATATTTATGTATAAAAGTAGCAAATTTAAAGTTATAAAGTAGCCAAGAAGTAATTTTATGGTTGGGGGTGGGTCACCACAACATGAGGAACTGTATTAAAGGATCTCAGCATGAGGAAGGTTGAGAACCACTGCTGTACAGGGAAGGTTGGGGGGAAGGGGAGTCAAAGCAACAGGTGTACGGAGAAGAAATGCCCCCAAGCTGATTGTGGCGATGGCTGTACAACCCCTCTCAAGGTGGCCGAGCTACTGACTCCCCGATGTTATTGCCAGCGGCCATCGAGTTGGTTCCGACCCACTGCCGCAACCCTACTACGCACAGCAGAAAAAGCACTGCTCGGGCCTTGCCCAGCCTCACCGTGATCCCAGGCTTGAGCCCACTGTGGCAGCCACCGTGTAAACCCACCTTGTTGAGGGTCTTCCTCATTCGCTGCCCCACTACTTTATTATTTTTAACAGTTTTATTAGTACTTCATCCGCCTGTTATAAAATTCAATAATCCATCCATTCATATCAACAAGGGTTGGACAATTATTACCACATTCAATTCTAGACCATTTTCTTCTTCCCTGTAACTCAGTTATTCCTATGATTTTTTTCTAATTATGGCAAAAACAGACACAACAAAATATTCTCCAGTTCCACAACTTCTGCATGTATAATTCAGTGTCATTGACTATACTCTTCGTGTTGCACAACCATTATTGATGTCCTTTCCAAATGATTCCTCCACCAATAACATAAACTCAATGCCCACTAATCAACAACTCTTTCTTCTTCACCCATGGTAACCATAGGTCAAGTCTGGCTTCTTCTCCTTGATATAGTATTCACATCTCATACACGTCCATGGCTAAATCAGGTTTTAAAAGAGTTGTATGTAAGATGAGCACCCTTATCTTCAGTGACTTTTCATGAAGGTGAGTATCAAGCAGGCCATGTTGTCAAAACGAACTGTTCTTAGATGGGGGCTAGAGTTTAGTGGGAGCCCAGAATCCATCTGTTTGCCAATGGGTTATGAACCACGCTGGTTTACTTCGACAGTCATATGACAAAAACCAAAACCCACAAGAACAACAATAACCAAAGAAACAAAAACATTTCCAGTCATCTCCCTGGGGTATAGGCAATTGCAATTATAACATCAATTATTTTTCCAATGATAAAGAATTTAGGATACTATTTGAGGTAGTTAGTTTATTGTGCCAACCTGGCCTATAAACACATGTGGGGTTAATTGAAGGGCGGAGGGATAAATGGCTCAGTGAGCCTCGCCTTTCTAGTTCTTGGGTCTCTTGCTTTCTGATGGTCAGACCAGGGTGCAGCTGCCTTAGCCAGTTCCCTGCTTCAGCCGGTAAGGCTCACTACCTGTAAGACATCCCTGAGGAGAAGCCACATGGACCTACGCCGATGCAGCCCTGGGTGCTAGAGCACCCATGTGGAGACCCCTGCCAGCACTGAGATGCTTATACATTCACTGACTCGGCTGTCCTCCTGCAGTCGGCATCATTGCCTCTGTTTTGTGAGATGGAGGAGGACTTTGTGGATTGGTGTTGATCATAAGGGTTAACGGGTTAATGTTGGACTTGTGGGCTTGGGCAGCACTGGGTTGGGATGTTTTCTTGATACGCACTTAACCTTTATATAAAACGCTCTCTTATACATGAGTTTCTGTGGGTTTGTTTCTCTAAAGTACCCATACTAACACACTATTGATATGAGGAGTTTAGATGAGGATAGTCTAACTGCAAGCTGCAATCCAAAAGTTGTTGCTTTGTACAGATGGATTTCTTAATTGATTGAGCTCTAGTTCACTGATCATGGGGGCTGATGTTAGGGGAAATTTTCCTGGATCAGTTCTTACAGGTGCAGATCTTGTCTGTCGGCTGAAAACCTGTCATATTAATGCAGGGGGATCACTGAGGTACTAAACACATGGTGGTTTCATTGCATGCCCACTAAGCCAGGGGTCCCACCAAAGGTCCCATGGTTCATTTCCACAGTCTTGGGGTGGCCACCCTTTGCTTCCTCTCCAATCAGAGTATTTCGTCCTACATCCAAGGGTGTTTGAGATAGGGGCCAGTTCATTCAGTCGGACTTCTACGTTGAGTCCTTCTGGTGTGCCCTTTGGGAGATGCCATGTTCCCTTTAAGGCCACTGTCTAAGGTCATCATAGTCCAAGGGGTGGTTCACCAAGGTTGTGTAGAAACATGTTCGTAGTGCCTACCCGGGAACACAGACCAGGGTTTACTCTCCCCTGAGGTTCCCTACAATTACTGTTCCGCATCCCTTCTCCATGTGAGCTTGCTCCTCCCCGCTGATCCACCACACAGAGATGCTCCACTGCCCTGGTCTTCACTGGATCTTCCAGTACAGCTCTCCTCTCATTCCTGTGGAGGGCCTGCTGTTCTGGCCCGCTACGTTACCAAGCATGATGATATGTTCATTACAGCTCAGTAGAGGAAAAAACAGGTGGGCTTTCACTGTAGACCAGGGGTGGGAATGCCTGGCCCTCAGGCGTACAAGGCTCATGAACTCATCACTACCAGCTGACATCACCTGCCTCACGAGAGAGAAGCCGCACCAGCCATGCACTGGGGTGAGGATGTCCTTCAATGGTCTGAGCAACTTGGCCCAAGAAAGAGAGTGCCGTCAGAAATGCCCAAATGGCCCTTGGCAGAAAAAGGTCCCCACCACCACCACCCGCTCTATCCGAGTTTCTGTCTCATCATCCTGCGCCGCACCCTGCCTGCGCTCCTTCTAGCTCTAAAGGCCAACAAGCCGATGGTCAGCACTACTCGCGGGCGTCTGACCTGTGCTTCAGCCGAAGTTTAACTCCTCCCGACCACGTAGTTTTTCTCTGCTGGGGCTCCAAGGTGAGGTGCTGGGGGCTGGAGTTAGAGACCGCAGCGTCTGCATGGCCCTGGTCCGCACACGTGGTCCTGCGGAGAGGAGGGACACAAGAAGGTGAGTGTGCTGTGGGTCATAGGCATGCGCATCGGAGTACAACGAGGAAGAGAAAAATCAAAGCCCACTGAGGTGGGGTCGATTCTGACTCAGTGTCCCGGTACAGGCTCTCTGAGAAGGAAAACCTTCACGGGAGGAGCAGAGTCTGATGTCTCTCCTGCAGAGCCGCTGATGGGTTTGAACCGCCACCTGGCGATCGGCGGCCCTGGCACTTACCTAGTAACGCTACCTGGACCCTTTAGGATGAAGGGACAAGAAAATTAGGCAGGTTAGAACAGACAAGCCACCAGAGCCATGGAGGCCATTCTAGTTCACGGTGTCCCCCACAAGACAAGAGTAGAACTGTGCTCCACGGCTTTTCTGAATGATCAACGGCTGGTTTTTCTGAAGCAGATCACCAGGCCTTTCTTCCAAGGCACTCCTGGGTGGACCTGAGCCCCGAGGCTGTTGGTTAGATGCATAATGCATTAACCCTCTGCACCAGTGAGGGATTCCTTCTATGAAGGGTTTTCACCAACCCAAGCAAGCTGTCAAACGAAACACTCCCCCCCTCCTCACTGCCATCACGTGGATGCTGCCTCACAGGGATGCTCAGGACAGGGTAGAACTGCCCCCCAGTCCCCCTTCCTCCCTCCCCCACCCCCCGTGAGTTTCCAAGACTGTAACTCTTTACAGCTGGAGTGGCTGGTGGTTTTGACCTGCTGACCTCCTAGTTAGCAGCCCAATAGGTGACCCCTACGCCAACAGGACTCCTCATATCAAACAAGATAGCCACCTTGAAATCAAGTCACAGCAGCCTCACATGCCAACACTCCCCACCCTCTCGTGCCCCAATCCTGCTTTCAGGAGAGTGATCTCTGAGTGTCAGCAGCCCTTGATGTACCCAGCCATTTGGTGGTGGTGGGGGGGAGGTGTCAGCGCTCAGAAGCAGCTGCCAGCTTTTGAGACCGAGCTATTTGGGATTGTTCAGATGCCACCGCACTGGGAGGCAAGGCTTTTGTGTGTCCCGTGCAGTCCACCCGCCCACACCCGTAGCCAACACAGCCCCCAGAACTCTCCTCGATACGCCCAGCCCCACCGGCACATTCCGGCGTGGGAAGGGACTGGCTGCTCCTTAGGAGCTTGCAGACTCCCTGCCTGCAGCCACCACCCTCCTCGTTGGCAGGCCTCACCCTGCACGTGGGCTGGGCAGTGGGCCCTGTCATCCCTGTATGCTGCCGGTACCGGTGGCGTGCTCTCAGTTTCTGGCTAGGAGGCTCTTCCTCAGTCTCTGAGAGCCTATTTCCAGCAGGAATCTGGAAAAGGCCCCAGGAGGCCAGTTTCTCCCCCCCAGGCACAGGCCTTGGCTGGGAGGGGA